GGCAACAGAGCATTTTGATTGGTTGATTTTAGTTAATTATTGGCCCTCTGACTGTTTTTTTTGTGTAATAAACCTATTTGCTATCCAACTCCTAAAATTTTTTTTTTTTTTCAAGACTGGTAAATTTAGTATTTTTTCTAGTGGTTTGGTGCACCTATTTCACTTAACCAGCTCAGAATAAATTTTATTTTTGAAACAAACTTTTTTTTTGACTTGTTAAGTGATTCATTGCCTGGATGATCTGGCTCTGGACACCAATAACCTCGATGCATCCATAATAAGACATATCCTATAAAAATTTTTTTTTGAGAGAAACAAAGATTATAATAACGAATGGCTTGCAAACTTTAAGTATAGTTAACTTGGCTGAGATAATTATGTTTTTCTGGTTGTTTTTTTTTTTTTGGGGGGGGGACATTGCAGACAGCAAGTTAAGAACATAGAATTTTTTTTTATTTCCTTGGTTTCCTGAGGAGATCAAAAAAGTCTTACATCTTTTTTTTATACTAAAGCTGTAATAACGTCTTGCACATCAACCGTCAGTTTTTTTTTAGACTACAAAATAACATTTCACCCTTTCTCTCCCACAGATCTTTTTTTTTAGCTTTAACTTAAAAGAATTTTAACTCATGTTTGACAATATCCTCAAGAAGATATTTTAATCCTTGTTGTCTTTTGTTACAAAATGTAATTTTTTTTGAAGGAAAAAACTTTACATTTGGTCACTCCTGCCAGTTGAATTTTTTTTGACTAAATTCATCCCAACATATGTTCACCTGTAAGATGCAATTTTTTTTAGCAGCCCTATAACTTGCTCTGTAGCCTTTATCATTGGGATTTTTTTTTAGCCTGTAGCCCCAAGCATCAATCATTTTCATCCGCTTAGCATGCCAAATGTGTGTTTCAAGCCAGACGTGCTTACGCTGCCGACGATTGTTTTTTTTAAGCAGGTTTTTGGGCCGACGGCGATGATGCCTACTCTTTTTCTTCTGCCCTTCAGGTTTACCGCCTGAGTTATGCATCTAGAAATCAAGGTGATTATCAATACCTTCTCAAGATACAGAAGTGAAACAAGTAATTTTGTTTCCCTGACAATCCCTTATTTGCACTAGGAATTTTATTTCAGAAAATATTTTTTTTAATTAAATACCGTAATTAATTTCTCAATTAATAGTAATTAATTTTTTTTTAAATTAATTTTTCTTCATACTCCTTAGGTTATTTAGATATTTTTTTTTCCTCCACTTTGCTGTTTCTCCCACCTTAAAGGAATGAGGGAAAGGGTAGAACCCACTGCTTTCCATATCCTGCTTCATTCCTTCCTCTCTTTTTTTTTCTGTCTTCCCCTCATCTGTCTCCCACCCTGTTTTCCCATTCTTTTTTTTCCTCTCACCCCTTCCACTTTTCTTAAGGGCTAATATCCTCTTTTTTTTTCTACGTTTCCTTTCCATCATTCTTACCCCCTCCCTTATTGGTACTTTTTGTCTATTCCCTAAGGTCTTCCTTTTCCCTTTACATAGCTCTTTTTTTTTTTCCAAAAAATCCTACCCCTGGAGTACATCCTCAATTTCAATTTTTTTTCCCCACGTATTTCTTACTTAAGACACTAATAAATTTAGGCGGAATAAAAGGAAAAGTCACTGCAGAGATTTACCCTCAATCTCAGGAAAGCTGAATCTTGTGCTTCACGAGCTCATCAGATTTCAGTAAGAAATTACAAAAACTACCTTTCATTGAGATTTGTGGTCGGGCAAGTCCGATGAAAAAATTTTTTTTTTATGGAGCCTTGCAGATTTCCTGGTTTTGAACACCACGTGCACAAATTAAACACAAGTCTTCTAAAGTCCAGTGTTTAGGAGACCTCACCTTTTTTTTTCCTACCTCATACGAAGCACGTTGCCGGAGACGAACAGGCACTCTTTTGACGTTGTGGCTCATTGCTCTTCTCCTCATGTGGTTTGGTAGAGTTTGAAACACTCGCTTCCCTTTAGATTTGTCAGCTTCTGTGATAGCTGCTACCATGTTCTTGATTTCCAATGCACGAGCTTCAGCGAATTGCTCTGTTTTTTTTGATCTTGGGGCTTGAGAGGTTACCTCAGGTGTTGAAGATGATTTTTTTTCAAAACCTGGAATACCACTGTTTCGTTTTCTTTTCCGACTTTTTTTTTTTTTCTCTACGCTATTTCCTGCATTTGAGGACGCCATCTTGGTTTCTGAACCTGCCAGTGATTAGATTTGCGGTTTTGTTTGTGATACTGTGCGCAGAAGTCATCAACTGTAACTACAGTTGGCGCAGTGATAATTTTTTTTTTTTTTCCTTTAGTAGCTTTGGCACATGTTGCGGTTTTCGTTGAATGTTTAAATTCGTCTTTAACTCTTATTGCTTGTTTCTTCTTTTGTACGGCTTTTTTTTTTTGTCCTGTGTTGGGTTCAACGATATGTCGCTTATGGCGCCCGTGATAGTCCAAGCAACCGCCAAACATACGGCTTCGGTGAGTAGCTAGCAAGCTTTTAACGATCTCATTTGATTTCCAAGCCAAATTAAGGCGTATTTTAGAAGCTAATTTATAATATTCCTGAGCACGTACGAGGGAATGTTTTATTTTTTTTTGATTTACACCTAAAGTATCGTTAAAGACAGCAATAACGTAACAGTCCACTCGAAAAGAAATTCGAGGAGTCAAAATTCAAACTTGTTTTTTTTTTTTAAAGTCCTCTTTTCAGGACTTGAAACACAAGGTTTCTTTCCGCAGCATTTTAAACACTAGTTTCTCTTTTGTTAAAATTGAAGAAAATAATTTTTTTTAAATATTTCATTTGCGTGCATCATGAGCGAAAAAATTGTGAGGAAGGGCTAATCAAAGTTCATACGGCCCAATGAGTGTGTGAGATGTTGTTTTTTTTTCGATATAATCAAAGTTAAGTGCGGGCTGAATATACATGTTTTTTTTTTTAGCTGTCTTGTCCAGCTGTTCCATAATTTTTTCTTTTGTTTTTTTTTTTCTTTTTTTTCTCTAATGGATTCTTTTTTTGCCAAACAAGGAACTGTTTTGTTTCCTCGCAAGAGCATCCTATCTCACCTGTAAGGAGGAACTAGAAAGTGTGGAGAAAAATTGCAAGGCTGTGCTCTAAGAAAAAGTGTTTTTTTTCCTCTGCTCTGAAACTTTGAAATACAGGGTGCCCAGCATATGCTTTTATATGAAAAAACTAAAATTATTAAGTTGCCCAAGAGCGAAAGTTTTTTTTTAGGGGCCAACGGGCACTGTTAGACCACAGCCTTGAATTGTCACTATACAATATTGGTTCAGCCCCTTTAAAGAAATACATATATTTTTCTTTTTTTTTAGAGTAAAGCAGCTGTCGTATAAACTGCCTTATCAATTCATCTTAGGTTAATAAAGATTATACCTTCATTTGAATGACAACAGAAATTACATTTGAAACATCTCTAATTACAAAGCTTCTTCACCATTACATAACAACCTTTTTTTTTTTTTTTTGTGACAATGTGAATCTGGAATTTCTTCAGCATCTAGAATTTATTGTTAGAAATGGCTTCTACAGTACATTTGTAAATAATTTTTTTTTTTGGATGCCAGTACCTGAACTTGCTGTATGTTAAAATTATTTCTTTTTTTTTTTCTCTATACCCTCCTTGGACAATGTTTATTTATCCCCAATTTTTTTTAATACAAGTTAAACTACTAAATGCAGATTCAAATCATTTTGTTTTTTTTTTCATGTTTGGACTATGACATAATGTATGCAGTGTGTGATATTTTTTTTAAAAAATGTGACCTCTCATGGGAAAATGTTCCGAATGGTTATTTTTTTTTAAATGGATAGCCGTTCATCGGCCGTTTGACTGGATTGGCATTTTTTTTGAACACCTCAAGCTATCCGTTCTTGAATATTCATCATCCGTTTTTTTTTTTCAAGCTATCCGCTTAAGAAACTTCATCATCCGTTCGAACTTTTTTTTCTATCCGTTCTTGAATATTCATAATCCGTTCGAACGCCTCCTTTTTTTTCTTCTTAATATTCATAATCCGTTCAAACTTTTCGAGCTATCTTTTTTTTAAAATTCATCAGCCGTTCACTTCGCACTTTGGCAACGATGGTTTTTTTTTTTTCGGTGTGATTGCAATCCATATCTTCTCTCGTTGAATTTTTTTTTTTGTGATTGTGTGAAATGGTGGTAATTGACACCTTTTAACGCTTTTTTTTCTGAACATCTTTGTGTTATAGCATAATTTGAATCTTTAAAATTAAGGATTACACCACTGAAATGAATGAGGTGTGAATAAGGTTGGTTTTCAAGGCTTTTTTGTTTGTATTTATTGACTAAAGAAAAACATAACTCGGGGATTTCTCAAACGATCAAATTTCTCAAGGGATTATCAACCATATTTGCAAGTGTCTAGACCTGTAGCTTTGAAAAATTGTTTATTGGGTAAGAAATGAATTTGTCTATATCCTGTGGGCAATGAAATTGTTAATAAGGGGGGTTAAATAATGCAGTGCAATGAGGGATTAAATTAAACACTAACTTTTCAAGAATAGGTTACTATTAGAGATTATAGTTCACCACTAAATTTTCTCCGGTTCTT